AAATATCTTTACATATGAAAAAGAATTAAAGGATTAAAATATTAAAAATATTATTTTCTATCCTACATAAATATAAAACAACCATAACTTCATGCCTTCTTCATCTCGGGGGACTTTTTTTAGTTTATTCATGACTTTGGTATAATGTCATTATTATTAGCAGTATTATTTATTATATGCATATTTATATTTTATTTATTAAAAACAAGCTTAGATTTATCCAACTGTCAAGTTTTAGACCATATGGGGCATAGCATGTGTATTTGGATAGAATTAATTGGTTATTACTGTTCATTTATTCATTTGCTAGAAATTAGAACTGAATTTAGTAATAGTTTTGAAATAAATCTTCGTGCTTAAGAAACAAAATTAATTATTTATAGGCTAGTGGATGTCTGTGCGTACAACAAGTTTCCCTATCCACGAGAGTGAAAGTTTAAGTAAAGAATGAGAAGGCTCATCTCTCATTCTCGCGCTGTAGATGCTCTGTTTAACTGTTTTCTAACTAATGAAATGCTCAGTTTTTTTCACTTACAAAGTCTGTCATGTAAATAGCAAATGCACTATGGCGCAACACAACTGACTCTTAAAGGGAATGGGAGACGAGACTCTGATTGGTTTATTCTCAAAATACACCTATAACTCACCAAGAGAATAAGCTCAACCCTGTTAGACCATGAGCGACGGCTCAAGGCGGATTTTTCCATCCTTACAATAGCAAAAGTGGATTCTGACATGCCCTTGAATTTTTCACCCTGCAGTTTGGACTTGTACATGTACATAGATCGTCATAATAGAGCTCCTTAGTGTTAGGATCTGATATGCAGCCAAACTTAAAACAAAAGAGGTGAAGTAGTCAGTAGCTCTGCTGCAATGAAGAGGGTGCCTGTGAGCTCACGGTTATTCTTGTTCAGTGGTTGCTCTTCTTCAACATAGTAACATTGAAACGTAGTCCATTATTTTATGTTTTGCTCTGACTGACTGCAAAAATCCTGGATGTAACACTGTATCTCCTGGATGTATTAAAGGGCTTGCTTCAAAGGACGGGACAGAAGATAACACGATCATTTCAACGTAATTCGAGTCATTTAAGACAAAATTTAAAGTAAAGGTAGGAACATAGTGCAAAATCCTGAAATCCTGTGTGTGTGTGTGTGTGTGTGTGTGTGTGTGTGTGTGTGTGTGTGTGTGTATGTGTGTGTGTGTATGTGTGTGTGTGTGTGTGTGTGTGTGTGTGTGTGTGTGTGTCCACATGTGATGATATGACAAATGCAACACAATCAGTAGTTGGCAAATATATTGGGTGTATATAATTGTAAATATGACCCTAAAGGAGCCTCACCAGCCACAAACCCTGACGTACGTCCCTGCTATACACACTATTAAATATCAAATGTTCAATTTCATGATGTTTACTTAATATATGCTCTGGATTAGGAAAGGGGATTGCTCTTCTCTCAATGAAACCTTATGTCAAAAATTATTTAAATTTAGTGTCTGATTTTTTTTAAACGCTCATAAATAAACAAATCACACAAAAAATAAACAAATAAACAAATTGTATGTTTGTTTACTTAATTTAAGCTACTTTAGCACTCTTTCATTTAAACTAAATAATGTGTTGCTGAAATAAAATGTTCAAGCTTGTAATGTTCATTATAAAAAAAAAATATTTATTACATTTTATTAAATTTTCATTCAAAATCCTCTTTACAAAGGCTTTAATCTTATTACAGAAAGCAGTTTTTGTGTACAATGTTCCTAATTCACATTATTTTGTACAAACAGTACACAGAAATCAGGCCCATGAAAAATGAGTTCATAATTTATTTAACTCTTCCAAGTGGAACCAGAGAGCTTCAGTATCGAGACACACTGAGATAATTTCCTCTACTGACTCATGACGGTGTGATACTGAAAAACACTCTAAAACAGCTTTACACATTACTCAACAAGATAAATGGCGATGCTGGAGCTTTTTTAGCATAGCATTTTGTGTCAAAACACTAGAGCATGAATCTGTTTTGTAACAGAAGCAGTACTGAATAAAAAATTTGATTAAATACATGATCTCTTGTATACAACTAATATAAAATAACTATTAAAATAATAGCATGAAAGGCCATAAATCTGTACTTGCTTGTTGACCTTTCACATACTTTCAATAAAAAAGCAGATGATATGAAAGATCCAGCAGACTAACTTTCCCAAAGAGATCTAGAAAAATCTGTGAAACTACACTTTCATATTTGAGTATTAACAGGATGTGAGATCTTTTAAATATCAAATTGTCAATGATAATGAATGGCTGTGCACTGAAGGAGAGTGCAATTCAATCCTGTACTCATCTGTTAGAATATACTGATAAATGCAATTCATTGTGAATTAAGGTTTGTTCACATTAAAAATGATAACTAAAAAAACAAAAAATTGACATCTGTCACTTTAAATGCTGATGGATTCTGATTGGCTGTTAGAGTTTTTGTCATTAATAAGCAGGAAAAAGTAATTCTGAAAGTGATTCCAAAACTAGCGCTTTTTTTGAACTGTTACCACTGGCGGACTTAACATATAAGCGAGGTAAGCAACTGCTTAGGGCCCCGACTGATCATCCTAAAGCTATTTTATAATTTTTCTATCATATGTTGTTAAGTCTGTCTATAAACATTAATATTTTAACGTTATTATTTCTTTTCTAAACTGGGGGCCTCCATTCCTTCCAAACACACACAAGCAAATATTAAAATCTAATTACAAATCACAAGTATGGCTAATTAAAGGTGAAGTAGGTGATCTGCCAGAATGCTACCATTAGCATAATAGCTTAGAAATGTTACGACCCTCCCCTACCTTCTAAAGCCACAACTTCTGAAGTCATGAGTGCACACTGATTAGATATAACACTAGATCATGTCATTCACCAGTTAGAAAACTCTATGGAGACACGCACTTTATCAAGCATAGTTGTGGACAGGCCAGCGGGTCCAGGAATTATATTTCCTCAAAACTGTCACAGGTTGTCACTGTTTAAAAATGAACTAATGTGTGAATTTAAATAAACCTTCACCTTAGTAAACCTAGTTAGACAGAATAGCACATTTACTATGTTTTTTTTATTAAACTAAATAAAAAAATTTGATCAGAAAAAACTGAAAACTGTGCTATAAACAGAAAAATCCTATCATCTTTTTACATTACACTTATGTTTATGTTACCAAGATAACGAGTGACTTTTCATTGTCAATTGTGCTCGCTGATCCTTGTACATCTCATGTTTTCAGCTTTTTTTACTCTTGAACAACTGAACGAATGCTCAGGTCTATTTAACCGACTGTATTATCGATGCTGTAAAAGATACCCAAAGAACTCAAAAAATAGCCAATCTTCTGCCGGACGTTTTAAGTGGCTGAACTACACCTCTGTGCATATAAACTCATTCATAAACAACGACACAATCTACATAAGCTTTGCGTAGCTAAATTAGTTTCAAAACATACCTATCTATAAGAAATACTTCAGCCGTGATGTCATCCTTCATATTGTTGTTTTGAACTGCATAACTTCATTGCCCTTTAGCATGCAAAAGTAATTCGGATATTGATTAAGAGTTTAAGAGATTAAGAGCTCCATCTGAATAGTTTCATTTGTAAATAACATGCGAAAATGCGAGTCTGGTGTGCCTTGTCACGGCTCTAAGCGGGTCATCTGGTGAAGTTAATTCAGTGTGCGTGGTTATTAGTCTAGGTGTACAAGCTCGGAACTTTTAACTGGCACACAGTTGGCTGTAAAACTATGCAAAGAGACAAATGAGTGTGTACTCTCTGCTTGGTCTGTATCCGAGTCATACATGCACGGCTGAATGCTGACCCTCTCACTCATGTTGCTTCTCTCAGCATGCCTGTCTGTTGCCAAACACAGAGCGGTGGAGCTCTTGGCTCCACCACCTTGTTACGTTGGGTGGAAATTTGAAACTAATTTTCATGTGAAGCAACACACCCCTAAAACAGCGAGCTGTGTACAAGCTCACATCAAAAAAATCTTAACTGTGTTTTGAACCTAAACTGGCACACTCAGAAAAACCATAATATTAAATCATAAAAAGGGGTAAAATAGGTGCCCTTTAAGATAAATGCTTGTAAACTAACTTTACAAACACAATATGCCTGCATGTAATACATTTTTATTCACTAAATTATTACAAATGCATTACACATACACTGAAAAAATGCAGGGTTCCACACAATTTATTCATGTAGTCCCAACACTAATCAATTAAGTTAACTTAACACTTTTAACAAACTGATGTGGATTGAACATAAAAAATTAAGTTGTCCCAAAGAAATGTCAAGAATTGTGTTGATTCAGCTCATTTTAAATAAGTACTTTGAACGAGCAAAAAAAAAATTTTTTTGAGTGTAATACATAAAATGATTCTATATATATATATATATTAATTAATAATTTTGTCCTCAAAATGTTTTTAAAAAAAAATAAAACTGCTTTTATTCTAGCTGAAATAAAACAAATAAGACATTCTCCAGAAGAAAAAATATTATCAAACATAACTGTGAAAATGTTCTTGCTCTTTATTTAAAAAAGGAAAAAATTCAAGGGGGGCTAATAATTCTGACTTCAACTGTATATTTAAAAATATAATATTTATTATATTGTTTATATCACATTTAATATTGCTTAAGAAATACACCAGTAAATCTCCTGTCAGCTGATAAATGCTTGTGCAGAAATATGACACTTTAAATTGAACACGGTTCTTCCAGACGATGCATTATTTTATTATTTTCATGTGTTAGCTTTGTGATTTTAGCAGCTTACTAAACTACAGCATTTAGATTATCTTACCTTCATTAACTACATAAACACTGCATCAACAGCTAGATAACCAACAGATCCATACATTAATTCTCTGTAAACAACCTGTAACTCTGTCCACTAAAGCTAAAAATACCAATTGATGTTCCTTAATGAAGATGTGGACTGACCTGAGAGGAAGCTGGTGTTTCCCCCTTCAGAACCCTGTTTGCGCAGACAAAAAGGGCTGTCGTGGTTCTCCGGGATGCTGCGGCAGCGCTCGTTCAACAGCTCTATCAGCCGCCGCCTTCGCCGGAAATTCATCCTGAACTGGTAAAGCAGGCCACCATCCACAAAATGGTGCTTGTTAGAAACTACAGAGGAAGAAAGAAAAATGCATTAAGAGAGGAGGTCATATGTCAGTTCACTGGAATAAAGACGTGACCTGTCAAGCCGCAGTGGTCTAAAATCTAGAAGTGAAAGACAAAAAAAATGCTAAACTCATCACAATGTTAACATTTGGGGTTGTGTCTTTAATGCATTTGATTTTTAAAGTCTGTAGAAAAATAATGATATATGCAATTATTTGTCATTTAAAGGAACACATCACTTTTTAAACATTTGACATATCGTCTTACCATTTTTCAATCCATTAGGCTGATCTCTGGGTTTGGCGGAAGCATTTTTAGCTTAGCTTAGCATAGATTATTGTATCGGATTAGACCATTAGCATATCACTCAAAACTGACCAAAGAGTTTCGATTGTTTTCCTATTTATTGCTTGACTCCTCTGTAGTTACACATTGTGTACTAAGACTGAGGGATAATGAAAAGTTTTCTAGGCCAATATACAGTATAAAAGGCTTCCGACTTTTACTTATTCCTCACTTATTACCAATTACAAGGGTGTAGATTTGCTCTTGACATTGGTGTGGACATAAATCCTTAGAGCAGCACTGAACAGCACAAATTCTGTTTTGCACTTTTAAAAATATTATTAAAGAACTTAATAATATAAAATAAACACTTAATAATACTAAGAGCAATCATGTCCCATGCTGCAAAAGTAAATATACATGATTTAACTGCAGTCGGGCTTTAAGGAGGTATGAATGGAGAGAAATTTAGAGAGGTGTGTGACGCAATTTAACTGTTTTATCCCAATTATAGTTTCTTATAATCACAGAGGCCAAAATCGATGAATTGCACAGCCTTGGTTAATAGTATTACGCTGAACTCGTAGAGAACTATTTTTTTTTTTGCACATGTAGGTTACTAAGGGTTGAGCATTATTTTATTAGTCATTTATTCATTCATTCATTTTCAACCGCTTTTTTCTGGGCCGGGTCGCGGAAGCAGCAGTCTTAGTAGAAAACCACAGCCATCCCTCTCCCCAGACATTTCCTCCAGCTCCTCCGGGGGTATCCTGAGGCGTTCCCAGGCCAGCTGAGAGACATAGTCACTTCAGCATGTCCTGGGTCTTCCCCTAGGTCTCCTACCGGTGGGACATGCCTGGAACAACTCCCTAGGTAGGCATCCAGGAGGCAGTCAGATGAAAGTCGATTATTTAGAAATGTATTGGTTGGGACATTTCAATAATCATTGAATATTGGTGGGGACACATCCCCTCCGTAAATGCCAATTCTACACCCTTGACCAATTGCCACCATCGCCATCCCTGCTCACACCCGAGTCATACTCACAACATTACCACAACACCCCCCTGCCACCCCCACCTATTCTATTTACGAGTCTATTTATCTTCTTATTCTAATGTGCGGAAACATGTCAGTTTTTATATTAATTAGTGATATCATTGACTAATAAAACTTAAAAGTTATATTTTCCTTCTATATTTTAGTTTTTAGTCACTATATTTATACTGTATTTATACTATATTTAGTTACTTATTCCACACAAAAAAAAACACAGATTTGTTTTTACATATTCTGTGCCGAAATATCAAAAGCCTGCAGATTCTGTCTGGCCCTAGCAATGGTATTATGTAGCATCTGAAAATAGTCCCTAGCTACGTAACTTCCAATGTAACCACCATACTTGCACAGGGAGCACAATTGTCCATCAGTCTTACTATATAATGCCACTAGACAGTCAAGCTTTAAATAGGAAAATTATCAAAAATCTTTGCTCATTTTTAAGTGAGATGCTAATGGTCTAATCCTAAGCTAAAAGTGCTCCTGCCAGACTCATAGATCAGCTGAATAGATATTAAAAAATGGTCAAACACAACTATTTACTTTAGAGAAGTTGTACAATGAGCCTATTTTCAAACAAGAAAAGTGGAGTGACCTTTTATGGCTAGTTCACATTAAGTGTGAAAACTATGAAGATAATATCTAAAAAGGCATAACTGTATTAGAATTGACACCAACATGTGATACTGTTTTGTTTATTAAAAAGTATGCTGAGGTTTTGTCTTCTTTTGCCCTTACATGCTCTTTAAATCAAGATGAATTCTGATGCCTTAAAGTGGTCCACCACCCAATAAAATTATGCTTAAGGAAAAGAAATAGAAATGCATGAAGAGAGGAGGTCATTTGTCAACTTACTGCAAATAAATGTGTGGCCTGTCAAGCCACACTGGCCTAAACAGCAAAAGTGAAAAGCAAAAATGTATTCAATAAAAAAACAAAGCTCTTTTTTTTATTATTTTATTTTATTTTATTTTATTTTATTTTATTTTATTTTATTTTATTTTATTTTATTTTATTTTATTTTATTTTATTTTATTTTATTTTATTTTATTTTATTTTATTTTATTTTAGAGAATGGGACTGACATGCATGGTGGCCAAACAAGAACCCTTTTTTTTTTTTGTGGTATAGGACCAGGAAAACCAGTTTGACCAAGCATGTGAAAGTATGATTGTGTAAGAGGAGAGCATGCCATCTTAAAATTCCATCCCACAATCCTATGCAGGAATAACAGAGCCATACTGAACTCCTTTCTTGCCTAAGATTCCATGAGTCATTGTGCTTCAAAACCAGCTTTTAGTTCGACGTGAGGGAATTAACTTTCCATTTTTATTACCATGTTCAGTGCTCTACTGTGTTATTATTCAGCCATGCCTCTAATCACAGGCCATTTACTTCAATGTCAGTGATATTTCAAAGACGTATTACAAGGAAAAATGTTAAATGACATTCCTCCTTCTATTAATATGTGCTCATTGTGTCAAATTTCAACACACACTAAAAGGTCTTCTTTAAAAAGCTGCAAAGGCAAATGGATGTGTTATGGACAATGCATGATGGCGGATTCATTTGATTGGTGGAGTAGAGGAATGCAGATAAATGTGTGTAGGAGAGAGCAGAGCTGGGTAAACACTCACTCATTGTCTGACTATCAGTGCACGGCTAGTCTCGCAGAGCCAGTCATTTGCCTTTCAGCAAAATGTTGTGGACATTACAACATGTTTTACAACATACAACAACTGTAATATAATATTAAAGAGAGAGAGAAAACCTGGGGGGGGGGTACTGGGTAAAAATAATTACAGTTATAATGCTGTATAAGTCACATAATTTCATTCAGAAATGAAAAATTGTTAAAACATTTGGAAACATCTTAAAATCGCTGTCATTTATCATAATAGATGTAAATATTCAAATGTCAATCATGAATGTTTTGATTCTTTTAGCTTTACTGCATTATATAAGTAATTTTTGAAATCGTAGCATGTATTAAATTACCTAGAACATAAGAAAGTATTATATTATGATATTTTAATATGAATTATTTAACATCACTCTTACCAAATTCTAATTTAAGTTACATTTAGACAAAAACAACGTCTAGACAAAAAAAAAAGTTTGCTATATGGATGGGGATGTCAAAACTACTGACTTCAGTACAAAATGATACTGAAATGTTAACATCCATTTCCCCACTAACATTTCATTGTGTTGAGCAGGGTCGTAAACACTGCTGAGTGGCCATTGTATTCACACGCTTGACATATATGACAGTGATTTTTAAGCATGTGAACACAATGGCCAATCAGTGGTGTTTAAGACCCTGCTCAACAGCCCTCGAAAGGTAGAGAGAAATTGATGTTTTTAAAATTTCTTTACTGATTGGTACTGGAGGATGCTTTTGACAGCCCTAAAAGAGAGACACATCTAAATAATCTCTGTTCACACAGATTTACAAATGTACTAAAACACTGTAATATTCATGTCGGGCCAAAAGCTTGAAATGTCCCTTTTAAACAAAAAACACTGAAAAAAACTAGGGTGTCTAGGCTTACACAATGTCAAGCTTAAGCAAAAACATCTTAAGTTGAAGGTAATATTTTTCTCCAAAATTTAAAATTACCCCATATTTTACTCACCCCCCTCAAGTCATCATCAGTGTATATGATATTTTCCTGTCAGAAAAACAGTCATATAAGTTTTACTCTTGATCCTGGCTGACCCATGCTGTATAATGGTGTTGAATAGTGGCCTTTATTTTGAAGTTTCAAAAGGAGTATGAATCAGTTGTCAAATAAACCATCCACTGCCTGCTAGGGGGTTAACACATATCTTATAAGCATATCTTTGTGTTTTTGTGACAAAAATATTTCAAATGCTTAAATGATAAACCACACTCATTGACTTCCGGTGGTGTCTGAATGCCCGTTATGTGTGACTGATGTATATGACAATCAAGAACAAAAAAACTAGTTGACAACATGGCGTTATTGTATACTATTTTACAGTATAATACTCTTACAATGCCATCTACATGTGTCTAGCTGTGTTATGTCTTGTGTCATTCCTACGTGAATGGAGGTAATTGTTAATTCTTAAAAATTATAATACAAATAGAATATAAATATTAGATAATTACTAAAAATTAGAAATATGTCTGTTACAAAAACACATTGACATACGACATGCATTAACCCTGTGGCTTCAAACTAAAAGCCAAAATTCAACACCATTAGGGTGCGTTCACACCAAACACGTCTTTGCTTCTTATAATCTGATATGCAATGCTTTAAAATGGTTTGAAAAAAAAAAGGCAGCATAAATCACAAGGTTATTTGGGAACTGGTTAACAGAAACTTGCAATGCTTGCCCCACCTCTGAGTTCTTCTGATTGTACCACTGCTTTGGGACTGACAGTGATGAGCAGCACTACGTGTAAAAGGTGAAGATCATTTAATTTGACAAGGCATCTAAAAAACACAGTGCTCATGTGCGTGCCACTTTAAAAGATGTAAGACGCAAGCATAACATTCACACGACAAGTGCGTGTTTACATCGAAAAAACGATAGAAAAGTAGCACATCGCAAAGGAAAAATGCATTCAGTGTGAACTGCCCCTTATACTGCATGGAAAACCCAGGATAAAAACTGTTCTCACC